GTAGCTCTGCCCCTTCTCATCTTACGCATTGCCTCCATGACTTCATCGATCTCAATGTCCCTACAATTACTTACTTCACGGTGACTGTCGGCATTCCTCGATTCCCCAAGTATAATATCCTGATCCCCTTCTTCACTTAGAAGTTTATGAAAGTATGTCTGCCACCTCCTCTTAATCTGGTCATCTCCCATCAAAACTTTGCCGTCATCATCTTTTATGCACCTCACTTGGTCCAGATCCCGAGTTGTCCTCTCTCTCGCCTTAGCGAGTCGGAATAACTTCTTCTCCCCACCTTTGTTCCTTAGCTCCTCATACATACGAGTAAAAGCTGTTGTCTTAGCCTCCGTCACTGCCATCTTTGCCTCCTTCCTAGCTACCTTATACCTTTGACTGTTCTCTCTTCTCCTCCTCGTCAGTGCTCCCTACTATCATGCACTTGATATACAACTACATCGAGTAAATGCATTTCTATTAATACTGGTCTCCATGTTCGTGCGTTGCACGAATATCGTATATCAATATCACAAAACGTGTACTTTAAATAATAAACTTTCAACTCCATAGGAATTATAGATATAATTTTTAAAGTTCAATAATCAGTTTCTTAAAATTAATTAATTTAACCAACTCATCAATAAATTTTTGATCCATTAAAGCACAAAATGGAATTAAATATTCTAATTACAAAGTTATACACTTAAAGTTGTAAAATAAGTTAAAAGAATGCAATAAAGTGGGAGACATAGTTTGTGTTAGGTTGTTCTTCAAACAGCCTGCGGTCTTATTACTCTGCAGCATGCACGCCTGCCAACAAAAATTGCCACATAGGAGAACCTTTGAGTAACAAAGTTATTTAACATTATTTTCTTCAAGAATTGTATTACAACTACAACTGAATCCTGATGCCAATATTGTCCACTTTGTGATTATTGTGGAAATAAATATTAATCGTCTTTAAAGGGTATAATAAAAACCTCACATGTAAAATTGAAATTCTCAGCTTTATACAATTTAAACCATCAATGTATATAAACAAAAGGTAAAATATAAATAACAAAACATAGTTGATTAATATTTTTCTGAAAATCATCTTTAAGCAATAGTAACACGCACCAAAACAAAATTATAAACACAAGAAACAGTAGATTAGTTTTTTTTTTTCTTCTAACACCATCTTTATGAAAGGAACAACAAAAATAGATAAAAAGCCTTTAGACTTGTAAAAGAAATCTTGAAATAAATACGCAAAGTTTTAACATCTAACCTCTGTAAAAGCAGTACATGCAGACGAGAAGCTGGAGTGCAGAATGAAGCAGCAGCAATTGACATAGGATTCAATGATTGGTATTTGTTTGAGGGTTAGCTATGTAGATTTGTTCCCTTAAAAGGAATTTGAATTTGTGCTGAATTCTTGCCAGCATAATGTGAATAGAACATTATGGTCAAAAAAGAGGTCAGTGGCCAATTTAATTAATCAATATATGATGTAATTTAAGGAGAGAAAGTGGCAGTAGGCAATTTAGTTAGCGTTTTTGTTTATAGGCTATTATTACAACTACAACTTTTGATATGTATTTTCTTCCAATGAGATTCTATTTCAGTGACTTATCCCTCATCTGGTAAAATTCTTTGTCATAATATCTATTGTGTCCTACCCTTTTGAATTCAATAATAAATAGGACATAATAACTCAAATAACGAAAACATAGGAACTTAATTAGGATTAGAAGTTCATAATTCGTGCAAAGTTGTAAATATACAATTTTATCCAATATAGAATTATCTTTTGAAGAAGTAATTTATCTTTTAAAGGACCTAAAAGTCAATCATTTTTCCAGGAATATCTTCGTCTTGCACATTTGGTGTTTTAACATTTGTGCTTTTATAATAATACAGATATATTTACAGCATGTAGGCCTCTTCTACTAGCTGGCTAATCCCACCACGTATGAGATTTTGTCACTTGGTCACTTCTTCTCCTCCTTCTATGAGCTTCAATTTTTATAAAATGAAAATAATCATTAAGAAATAGAGAGGAAAAAATTTTCCTCAGCCAGATCTAGTAGGGAATACCTGGCTTGAGCATTGAGTGTGAGATCCCTACTTACCCAAAGCGGACTGAAAGAGAAATATAAAATGCTTTTTAAAAACATAAGAAATGGCCATCTTCTTAAAGCTTTTAAGGTTTTATCATGATGTTTGGTAAGTCCAAAACATTTCAGCTGTTACCTCATACTACTATGACATGTCTAGCCCATTTGCCAAACACCAGGTTTGTGTATAAATGTATATTAATAACTGTATATTAGTATAATTATGGATTGATTAAAAGAAAATGATATGTTAGCCCTTCATTCATTCGGGTATTAAATTAAAGTCACGAAAAGGTCAAAGAAAAGCTATGTTAAAAGTAGGACTTGGCTTTACAGGTCTGGAAAAGACAACATATGAGTAGAAAATTTTCTTTCAGTGAAATTTTCTCAACAATAGGCATCATATTAGAAAATTCCTAACTCCCAACTTACAGATTAGCAAGCTTTGAACCATCAGGATGATACGAAAGTTACTCTTGGTACCAAGTTGTTAGGAGTCGTGACATCAAGAGAAAAAGAGAAATATTGTGCAGAAATGATAGTCTTTGAAGGATGTGCACAGGAAGTATTTTTATATCCCTACTTACTGGCTGATTTGAAACATGTAATATCCATGTATTCTGAAGTATCTGATTCTTGAAGATGTCAAATGCAAGAAACGACTGAGATGACTATTTAATACTGAATGAGTGATCCATCTGCAGGTCGTCCATTTTCAACCACATAGCTTATTTATCAATAGGGTTGGATGTAGTGTGTGCCTGCGTCAGTGTGATTCTCAGTCAGTGGAATGGATTCATCCTTCAGATCCTCCAAAACATTTTTCATGGCAGTCTACTAAAGTGGAACTTTTAAAGGTTGGTATATAATCAACATTCGCTTTGCTGTTATTCATAGTCTCCCTCAATACAAAAGTTAAATCTGTTATTTCATTCTTATGATCCATTCTTATTTCTCTTTCTCAGTTGCGGCTTGATGGATATGATTGGAGTGCACCATTTAGTGTTGATAGTGAAGGTGTTATGTGTATTTGCTTGAAAGATCAGATCACTGATAACCTAATGCATCTCAAGGTTGAAGTGAGGAGCGGAACAAAAAGTTCACGCTATGAAGTCATACTTCGTCCCAATTCTTTCACCAGTCCTTACAGGTTTGACTGTTATCACATACTTCCATTCTGATGCTTCTTCTCTCTGGAGTTTTGACATTTAATACTCGAGTCATTAATTTATTCTGTTTGAGGTGTTCGTGTTGTCATTACTTCATTCTAGTGAGAATGGCACCGCATGTTTGGTTTCGCTATGATAGTGTTCTTAAATACCATTGATATTGGATGAGCTAGAAAATCCTTACATTTTGTAAGCTTGAGATAGAATATCTCCAGTGGATAGAGATACTAAGGCTGGTAAAGCTTGTCTCTCTTTTTTTTCCTCCTCTTCTTGGGGAACTTGGATAAATTGTATTTGATTGGATGATCTCAGTTTCATCTCAATAGATGTTCTTATGTTATCTTTCGCTTATCCTTTTTTACAGCAAACAATAGCTTTTGATGCCCTGTTTGGGTTCGATTATTTCTCCTGCTTTAACTGTCATTTTTATTAAATCGGCCCCTCAACTGTAATAGTTTTTGGTTAATATGCAAAAAAAAAAAAATGAGAATTAGTCATCTGGTTTAGAGTAAAAATATGAAGCATATGCTTTCAACTCTAGAACTGGAGATATAGAAGTGGTAGCTATGGATTAGAAGAGTCGTCGTCCCAATCATATACCTGCACTGAAAGCAATTGAGAAAATAAAAAGGAGCCCATTCATTGTGGCTGATATAGAGGTTGTGTCTGCCTACAGTGCGGTAAGGCACCACCCTGTTGTGCCTGCAGCCAACGCCGGCGTGTCAGCTTAGTTATCCTCATCAGACCTGCTCTAGATCCCAAGTCTCCATGGTCGTTCTTTTTAACATCTCTTTCTATTCTTCTAAGTAATGCTATCAGTCACCTCGGTGCTGCTTCATTCATTATGCTCTTAAATTTCACGAGTTAATTATTCATTGGGATGAGGAGACATGTTATTCTTTTGGGTCTTGCTGTTTCTTCTTTTTTCAGATCACATAAGTTTCCATTGTCATTTATGGAATGGCTGGCAGGATATAGGACTTTTTTTTGGGTAATTAATTTTATTATTTCCAGGGAAAATATTTATAAGTATAGTAAAAACTCTATTAACTATCCGCTTAGGTTTGGACATGCAGCCCCAAACCTAGTGTCGTCATAACTACGTAACACCAAATCTAGCTATATGCAAGATAACTCTTGAAATCTTCTAGCCAGATTAGGACTCAAGCTTCCTCGACAATGGATTTCTTGGATTATCGTTTTGACCAGCTCCTCACATCTCCTCTGTTGCCCGCGAAAAGTTCGTCAATTTCTTTCTTGCCAAATATAGTACACACAGTGGCGGATCTGCCTTGGAGCTATTGGTGCCTGTGAACCCATGCTTGTGGCTCTAAATTTGTATTTTTACCATACATTTTATTTTTAAAAAGGTGATATATTCTTCTGTCTCCCCCATGCACTCAAATGAGTGTTTGGTGCACTGGCTCAACCTTTTACCATAAGACGCATGCTTTGCTAGGAGGTAATGAGATCAAATTTCATTTAGAGCATTCTTTTGTTTTTGCCCCTTGTCCGCAGGCAAGTGCCAAACTCTTTCTTTATCTTTTTTCCTTTTTTCCCACAACCAAATAGCCTTAACCTCTCTTTTTTTTACCCTCTTGAAAAAGGCTTAGCATTACACTTAAATATATTAGCTAAAAGATATGTACATCATCACTATAATTTTACTATCTTGATAGATTACTTACTATTAGAGGTTACCAATCAAATGGTTGTGGTAAGAAATTACCTAAATTAATCTCTAAGCAAACATAATCGGTAATACTAATAATTTACATCTTTAGTATGTAAATTGAACTTTTCGGGAGAAAAAGAATACGTCTATCTCACATATCTCTCATCATCTACCAAGCCCCCAACTCTAGTGACTTTAGAACCTTAGCCTGAAAATTGCTTGAATCGCAAATTTGGTAGTTGCGACTCGTCCCTCTTTCGTCGTTGTCAGCAGTGGTGCACCCATCTTCTTGAATTTCTGGATCCGCCTCTGACAGGACGATTATCAAAAGTTACTTGTATGGACGTATGAATTTTTTTCTGCTGACGATAAAGATCTAATATATTCACCCAAATAATATTTCCTCCGTAGGAAATTAAGACCATTACGTTTTTGTACTTAACGTGACGGGAACTAGGGTTTTCAACGATGAAATTGATAGTCAAATTTTGAGTGGAAATTAGGGATGATGAATCAGAGGAAGAAATATTAATATTGGAAGCTGTGATTGCTTCAATAGAAAATTTAGGATAAGATTTCTNGTACACAGTGCAAGTTAGAAGCATCCAATACATTGTTGCTGATGGTTGCTTACCTGTTGCATGCTTTGTAGCCCATTGTATCTCTTCATTCCACCCATTCACATCTCTTTTGACACCAAGCCAGTATAATAATTTTCTCCATACTGCTGCTGAGTATTTGCATCTGAAGAAGAGGTGATCATGTTCCTCTGTACCTCCTTCACATAGTTAGAGTTGACCATTCGCACTTCTTCCAACATTTTATCTCTCTTTATTTTCAGTATCTGTCATTAAAATTATCAACTTGGAATATTCTGCCATGACCTTCTCTACCAAATTACTGACAGTTTGTGTTCACAGGGTCGAAAACCGCTCATTGTTTTTACCTATACGTTTCCGGCAAGTGGATGGTGCTAATAATTCATGGAAATTTCTTCCTCCCAATGCCTCAGCTTCCTTTTCTTGGGAAGATCTTGGTCGAAGACGATTGTTGGAGGTCTTGATTGATGGATCTGATCCTGCAGCATCACTGATTTATAATATTGATGAGATATGTGATCATCAGCCCATCCATGTCTCTGGAGGACCTGAGAAAGCTTTACATGTCATTATCCAAAAAGAAGAGAAAGTTAATGTAGTCAAAATCAGTGATTGGATGCCTGAAAGTGCAACCTACGCTATTTTGAATAGAAATCCTTCTTTATTACCCTCTTCTGGAACTAGTTCTGTGTCTCAGCAAACACTTTCTAACACAGAGAGTGAATTCCATTTCATTGTTGAGGTCGCAGAGCTTGGATTATCAGTTATTGATCATACACCAGAAGAGATATTATATCTGTCAGTCCAGAATCTTGTGCTCTCATATTCAACAGGATTGGGGTCTGGAGTCAGCCGGTAATAATATATTTGTGCCTTCTATATAGGCGATGGATGCTATACTATTTTACTCCTGTTTAAACTTATATTATTTATCTATGAAGTTACTGATTTAACAGATCTGAAATTTTATTATTCAGGTTAAAAGTAAGAATGAGGGGTATTCAAGTGGACAATCAATTGCCTTTAACTCCAACCCCAGTACTCTTCAGGCCGCAGAGAGTTGGACAAGAGAACGATTATGTTTTGAAATTTTCACTGACGCAGCAATCTAATGGATCATTAGATCTATGTGTATATCCATACATAGGTTTCCAAGTTAGTAGATGAGCCCATTCCTCTTTTATGAAAAGACTGCTCCCTTCTATTCATTTCTGCTATGCTTAGTATTGCTAATATCATGGGGGCACATTTCTTTCAGGGACCTGAAAATTCTGCCTTTCTAATTAAGATTCATGAGCCAATAATTTGGCGACTGCATGGGATGATTCAGCAAACCAATCTAAGTCGATTGTACAATACAGAAACTACTTCAGTCTCTGTTGATCCCATAATACAGATTGGGTAAAGGTTCACGTTTATTATGCTATTATTTAGTTTCTGAAATGTCCTAAGCTTTTATTGTAAAAGGTCTTTTCTTATTGACAGTGTTCTCAACATATCCGAGGTCCGCCTGAAGGTTTCTATGATCATGTCCCCAACACAAAGGCCAGTGGGTGTTCTAGGGTTTTGGGCTAGTCTGATGACTGCGCTTGGAAACACTGAAAATATGACTGTAAGCACTTTCTGGTGCTTCAACTCAAGATTTGAATTTTTGTTTGCTGTTTTTAGGGGTTATAATTCTGGGGTCATTTAGTAGCACTGGATCTACAATCAGGAAGCTTAATGCACTTATTGAGGTAGCTTAAAACTACTTATAAAGATAGACCTCTCTAACTTATACAAAAAAAAAAACTACTAAACGAAAGAGACCTCTCTAAGTGCTAGGACCTTTGGTAATTCTCTTATTAGAAACCTGCACCCTTTCGTATATGCAGTCTGCAATCAAGAAGAGTTTCATGTGCTCATGTATTTACTTTGCTTGAATGAACGCTTGGTAACAATTCAGTCTTGGTCATCAACCACTTCAATGTTCAGCTAGCATGGTTGTCATTTCTTTTTGTTCTCAATACTAGGACCATTATGTATGGATTGTTTCTTGGTCATGTCATCTTTGGGCTCCCTTTTGTACCTTAGCTGTTAAGTTGAATCTGATTGTGTGGTTTTTTTTTCCATATTATATCAGGTCCGGATAAACCAAAGATTTGTGGAAAATGTATGCATGAGGCATAGTGTTATGATTGGTAGTGCTATCGCGAACATTAAGAAGGATCTTCTTAGCCAACCTCTCCAGCTACTGTCTGGTCTTGATATATTAGGCAATGCCAGTAGCGCACTTGGACACATGAGTAAAGGTGTTGCTGCGTTATCAATGGATAAGAAATTTATTCAAAGCCGACAGAAACAGGTTCATCAATGTCTAACTTTTCTCTCATTTTTTTCTATTTTTTTCTATTTTTTTGTCTTTTCTTTGTGAAATTTGCTAAAGATGCATGGAACTTTATCTCTTGAACAGCAATAAGTACCAAATACATTCTTGCTCTTGGAAATTTTGTTCGAAAACAGGAATGTCTTGGAATAAGAAAATGCTGCAATTGAACTCTGATCAATGGGATGGTGCACCAGAACTTATCATGTTAAAAGCAGGGCTCTTTTTATATGATTTTCCTCTGTCAAACTTCTTTAATGTTTTCACTGTCCAGTTAAACAACAACAACAACATACCCAGTGTAATCCCACAAGTGGGGTCTTGGGAGGGTAGTGTGTACGCAGACCTTACCCCTACCTTGTGCAGGGAAGGAGGTTGTTTCTGATAGACACTCGGCTCAATGAGAACAAAAACATAGCAATTAATGTGATTCGATGATTGATTACAAGTCATGTAAAATTGCTAAAATTTATAAAACATAAATCTTTGTTTTTTACCTTATCTATAATGTGCATGTTGTGCCGCAAAAAAACAGGAATGCCTGGGAACAAGAAAATGCTACAATTGAAATCATGTGGGATGGTGCACTAAGAATTAACATGTTATTGAGCAGGACTCTTTTTATATGGTTTTCCTCTGTCAAACTTCTTTAATCTTTCAATGCTACTGAATAGCAATTAATGTGATTCGACCAATAATTTACAAGTCATATTAAATTGTCTGAAATTTAGAAACTGTTGATCTTTAACTTTACCTTTTCTATAATGTGCATGTCTTCATCTTTATTGACATTGTAACACTTCCAGGAAATGTTAATGTCCCTCCTAAATGTTACATGTAATGTTGAATTTACATTTATGTTGTGGAATACACTGGGTGGTTGTTGTTGTTATTGTGGAAATTTGGTTCTGGTTGATATTCATTCTCTCTGGCCTATTCTTTTGTTTCAGGAGAGCAAAGGTGTGGAGGACTTTGGTGATGTTATTAGAGAAGGTGGAGGAGCATTTGCAAAGGGTCTCTTTCGAGGTGTCACTGGAATTTTAACCAAACCCTTGGAAGGTGCCAAAGCTTCAGGAGTTGAGGGTTTCGTACAGGGTGTGGGGAAAGGGTTAATTGGTGCTGCTGCTCAACCTGTTAGTGGTGTCTTGGATCTTTTGTCAAAAACAACTGAAGGTGCCAATGCTATGAGAATGAAAATAGCATCTGCTATTGCTTCTGAAGATCAACTCCTTCGAAGGAGGCTGCCTCGAGTGATAAGTGGTGATAATCTTGTTCGACCCTATGATGAGTTTAAATCACAAGGACAGGTAGAGAACTTGGTCTACTTTGCTTTCCTTTTCTTTCCTACTTTATGACATTCTAATATGCTTGAACATGAGATTCATAGCAGCAATATGCTACACATTAAGTGCGACAAGCTACTAAGGACCCTTGCTTCCTTTCTTTCCTGCTATTTGACGTGCCAATATACTCGATCATAAGATTGAATAAGGAAAAAGTACCAAATATTTGAAGCATATAAATAGGAATAGTACCGGTGATGTAAGTCTTAACTGAGAGAGTAGGAATAGTACCCTGAACTTGGAAGGATGGTGGATGATAGGTCCTTCCAATGGTCAACCCATTGTAGTACAGAGGACGTATGGCATTTTTGGTGTACTGCACATTAAGATTCATGAGAGAGACTTGGGCATGATTACTATTGTCAGTTCAAGATTATTTTTGTGACGCCCATGACGGAGGGCGGGCCAACGAGGAGGGATCGACTGGCAGGCTTCTAGGCTGGCAAGCTTCTGAAGAAGGGTTCCTGCATCGGAATGGGATAGGAAAGTGAAGAGCTTTATAAGGCATGACACAGGTTCACATGATACGCACGCTTTTGAGGCTCGATGTGGGCGTATCCCGAAAAACATCCGTGTGAGTCCTAGGCTGAAAGCGGACAATACGTGCCATGAGCTTGGGTCGTACAAATATGGTATCAGATGCGAATCTTCCTTGATACGATGGTGGGGCTGAGGAGTCCCAAGGAGGGTGAATGTGACGCCCATGACGGAGGGCCGGCCAATGAGGGCGGTTCGAGCTGGACTGGCAAGCTTCTAAAGAAGGGGTGCACATGTCACCTTAGGCAAATCCCACATCGGAATGGGAGAGGAAAGTGAGGAGCTTTATAAGACATGATACAAGTTTACATGGTACGCATGCTTTTGGAGCTCGATGTGGCGTAGCCCGAAAGACAAATCCGTGTGGGCCTAGGCCCAAAATGGACAATACGTGCTATGGGCTTGGGTTGTGATAGTTTTCTGTCCAACTAATTGGTGGTTCTCAATATAGCAGTCTGAAGCTTCGTGTTGTACAAATTTTGCCATAGGAAAAGGTAAGAAGTAACCTAAGACATACTGCTGAGATTTCTCTAAAGCCATGGTATAAGAGTCAAATAACAGTCATAAAGTCAAAGTCATTTTCTCAACAGGGAACAAGTAAAAGAAGAATCTCTTGATGTTTGGTAAGAACCACGCTAGTAGCAATGAAATTATCAAAATATTTTTCAAAATTAAATACATTTTATTTCCATCTCTTTAAGCCTTATTTCTAGTGCAAGCAAGAAGTGCATTGCTAGTGGCGGTCTCTTCAAGCCTTATTTCTAGTGCAAACCAGAAATTCATAATTGTGTTAATAGGGGAAATGCAAGCATAACTAAATATTTTTCCTGGGGGGTTTGTATATGATCAACTGATTAAGTATCCGAGCTTTAAGTTTCTGGTTATTCTGCAGTTACTCTGACAAAGTGTCAACTTATAGTATATTCGTCACTACTGTCCATGTAATTCAAGTAATCTTCTTAAAGAACCAGAGAATTTTTTCTAAAGAGAACTTTATATTGCCTCTCCCATTTTATGCGTCTCCATTTGATTGAACACAAAATTTAAGATGTTAAACTCACTTGTGTATTTGTTTGTAGCATTGAAAAATTACTTTGATCGAGAAAAAAATACATTGAAACTTGAAAAAATTCAATTTCATGAAATTCTTGGAAGTTGTACAACCTAATATCATCAATGTTGTACTGTCAAAATTTTAGAATGTCCTAAAATAGAAAGAGTATCATATACATTGGGGAAGTAGAAAGGATTTTCTATCCATGGGCATAAATTCAAGAAAGGAAACAATTTTTTGCAAGCTCGGTTGCACGTGCTTTATCCCTAAGTCAAACTGCTTGCCTGGTGCTTCATAAGTGTTGTCTTAAAGAGGGTGACACCAAAAAAAATAGATCAAAGTGAGATAATAATTATTAAAGAAAGGTTATGAATGAGTATGTTGGTCACTAGAAATAGTAAATTAGAAATTTAGTATGAGAAAACTAGTCACTAGAGCTGAATTAAAAATTTCAGATTACATCTTTGCATCTAAATCAAAAACCTTAAGTGGTTGTTTAACTTGATATGATTTAAAAAATTCAAAAATTACATCTTTGCTTTTGAATCAAAAATCAGAAATTGTTGTTTAACCTGATTGACATGATCTTTGTGGAAGTGTGTGACCATCTCATCTAAACGCTTAAGTTGTTAGAGAGAACACACTTTTATTTACTTAATTATGTCTTTCAACACACCCCCTCACGTGCGAGCTTGATTCTTTTTGATAAACCGAGCACGTGGAAATTCTTTTTGATATTGGATGGTAGTGAGACTCGAACCCATGACCTCCGCCTGCTCTGATACCATGTGGAAGTGTGTGACCATCTATCTCATCTAAACGTTTAAGCTGTCAGAGAGAACACACTTTTATTTACTTAATTATGTCTTCAACAATTTTTACTTTATATATTTCATTTTAGTTGCTTTTATTCCTTTGTCCTTATAATTGTTATTTGCTTTCTGTAGTTCTTTGTGTTTTGGGAAATTATGTATTTTGCACCTTAAACTTGTCCGGGAAAGTCACTTGCACGCCTAAACTTTGTGAGTGTCCTGGAAAGAAGAAGAATTGCTTTTTCTTTGTTCCTTCTTTTTGTAAATGAAAAGAGGTTTGAAAGTGGTAGGGGGAAGATGAGCGGCTCAGCTCCAGGGGAAATGGAAGAAACCGAAAGAAGAAAAGGAAAAAGAGAACGAAAGAAACAAAAGAGAAAGAATAAGAAAAATACTAGAAAGTAAAAAGGTTTTTGTTACACTTGACGCGACTAATTAAGTATAATAAGTTGTAACGTCCAATGAAAATGACATATGCACAATTTGATGAGTTTTCAACATTTTTTCGCTTCTCGCACGCCTTCAGTAAGGTGAAAACAATTTCTTGGCTACATCACCTCTCATGGGATGTAACTGACTTTTTGGGATAAGTTTGAGGTATAAACTATGTATTTTCCCATTATTTTTTCTTGCATTACATGTATATTTTAATTTCCCATTCAGCCTTTCTTCGCTAAAATGAACTCTTCAGTTGCATTTTATGCTTTAAGCCCTGTAGAATTTGGTTCTTTTCTACACTTCTGCAGTACCATGTTCGAATATTTATGAGAATAAGTTAAAGTTATGCCATATAGGTTTCAGAGTTGTGTTATAAGAAAACATCAAATATAGTTGTTGGGTCTGAACCAAATTATCTTCCAATTGAAAGGAAAAGTAAATGGGTATCGTAGGAGCTAAGATTTCATGAGTAGCTTGCGAAAATTGTGAACAGGCCAACAAAAAGTGTGGTAATGCAAAAGGTGAAACTGAGGTAGTGCAAGTTGATTGATATACATAAAGATGCAGATAAAAATGTTGCTACCAGATTTGAACTTTCTTCTATGTGGACTACATGAATGAAGTCTTTCTTGCACATATTGTACCTGTTTCCGTGCTCCTCCTGTTTGCTTGTGACTTTTTATTGCATTACTTGTGGGTTCAGATTTACATTCAGGTGTAAACTAAGAGTTACTCTCGTCTTTGTGAAGGCAATCTTGCAACTAGCAGAATCTGGATCATTTTTTGGCCAGGTTGACCTTTTTAAAGTACGTGCGAAGTTTGCCTTGACCGATGCCTATGAAGACCATTTCATGCTACCTAAAGGAAGGATAATTCTTGTTACTCACCGGAGGGTTATTCTGTTGCAAGTAAGTGAATAAGTCAAATCAGTTGAATAATTGAAAAGGGATTAAAACTCTTTTTTCATCCGAGCATTCTTTCGCATCTGAACCCTTTTCCTGCACTGTTTTGTGCACTTATCCTCAAACTGAAAATAGTTTCTACTTTGTCGTTGGCAGCAACCTTCAAATCTTATTGCACAAAAGAAGTTTAATCCGGCTAGAGATCCATGTTCAGTTTTATGGGATGTCCTGTTGGAAGACCTGGTGACTATGGAATTGACTCATGGAAAAAAAGATCTTCCAAATGGTCCCCCTTCACGGCTTATAATGTATCTACAAAGTCGTTCTCTGGAGGGAAAGGACCAGGTTCGTGTCATAAAGTGTCATCGTGAATCTAATCAAGCATTTGAAGTTTATTCTTCTATCGAGCAAGCAAGAAATGTTTATGGACAAAGTCAATCAAAGGTATATGTTTATGATTTGTGTAAGAAATTAAGTGCACTTTGTGATCAACTCCAGCGCAAATAGGCTACTGAATATTGGAAGATGCATAACCATGTGATTATTCTGCTAATATTTGTTTATTCATGTATATATGTTTGTGTAATTGTTTCCCCCTGATCTTCAGGCATTGGTTAAAACAAAAATGACTAGACCATATTCTCCTATCGCTGATGTGGCCAGCGCTGAAGGAATTTGCACCTGGTCTCCTCAACAGATGCCTGCTTCGACTTTTGGAAGCAGTGAGCAATGAAGGAATAAACAACGATGGTAGCAAAAAAGTGAAGGATGTTATCACCAACTAATATCATTTCAAGTTAGCTATAGTTTTCCATGGCTAAAATAGCACAACACCCGCAAGGTACGAGTGGCAATAAGCAGGACTAGTCAATTTGCATCTTCACATTAGAAATGCTTGTATATATGTGTATCCGCCTATCTGGTAGATGCGCTAGAAAGTTTTTAGGAGCAGATGAAACCCTGGAAACTTGTACAGCTTCTTGCGTCCCTTTTATACCTGTACTATAAGTAGGTAGGTAGGTGGTGGCCTAAAATCCCATAAGCCAAAAAACACATACAAGTAAGCTTCACCATGTTGTCATTGCTTAGAAACTGTACAGCTTGTGATTTACCTTATATATCTCCATTAGTCCTAATATTTCCTTAGATATACGTCGCCTACATATTAAGTCAAACCTGAGTTACGAAGGGAATTTTTTTTGTAGCAATTCCCTTGATGTTGTTGACCAACTTCTCAGCAGTTGCAAGTGAATTTCATTTATTGTTTGCTATTTTCCTGCTGCGTATGTTCTCCCTTGAAAAGGTCAAATGTTTCTGTTTGTTTCACGCCAGATTCATCCCTACTCTTTCTTCTGGAATAGTTTAGGCTGGAGATATACACTGCATTCTATAAATATATGGAAAGCTATGTGGGGATCACCCACTTTAAGAGCATTTGTGTCTTTAAATACTTTATCCACATATTGTCAATCCATGTATTCTTATTCCAAATTATGTTCTGCATCAAGTAATATATAGATTTCTGCATAAGTTAAAATGTAATACCCTAGCAAACACTCAACTAATTCGAAGTTTTTTTCTTCTTCTTAAATGATTAACCAAAGATTATTAGTTATGTGAATATCTTTTTCCCTTATGCAGCCAATTAAGGATTGTATTATTTACGGAGGAATTCTGTAATATGGTTATTCTGCTAATGCAGCGATTAGTAATACAAAGATTAATAATGTAAAAATGACTCATGCAAGAATTATAATAGGGGAGTAGTACAGTGATTATTTCTTTAATGATTGATATATTACAAATTAGTATGCAATATATGAAAAGGGAGTAACAAACATTGTATAACTAATGGTGATTTTTAAGTGGAGATTAGATCTCCTTAAATCCAATCATCATTGTACAAATTAATGCTGCATTTTTATCTACAAAGTCATGGCGAACCAATGAGCATTGGTTAATAGGTTGTTTTTTATGGACCCATCAAATTTCAGGTGAAGTCTGTCAAAAAAGATTTACAATATTGGCATATACTATACACACGAAAAAGTGAGTATAATCATAAATTCGTATGTCATGACCCAAGAAACACCATAAAATGAACCCGAGAGCCATGGCAAAGCAATGAGTATTGGTCACTAGGTCGCTTCATATGGACCTATGAAATTTCAAGCTAATCGTAGTTCGTTAAAAAAATTCAATAAAATTAACATGTACCATAAAAATGAACCCGAAAGTCATCGCGAAGCCATAGATATTGGTCACTACGATGTTTCCTATGGAACTATAAAAATTTAGGCCAATTGAAGTCTGTGAAAAAAATTCTAAAAATCAGCATGTACTAATACACAAAAAAAAATAGATACAATAACAAATTTATGTTACATGGCCATGAAACGCCATAAAATGAACCTGAAAGTCATGGTAAAACACTAAGTATTGGTCACTAGGACGTTTCTTATGCACCAACGAAATTTCAAGTTAATTGGAGTGCGTCAAAGAAATTTTACAAAATTAAAACTTACTAATATACACGAAAAACACGATATAATCATAATTCCTATTGCATGACCCCAAAACGCCATAAAATAAACCTCAAAGTCTTGGCGAAACAATAGGGTATTGGTCACTACGCCATTTCCTATGGACCCACAAAATTTCAATCGAAATTGAGTTCGTCAAAGAAATTCTACAAAATCAACATGTATTAATACAAACAAAAAAATTGATATAGTCATAAATTCGTGTTGCAAGACCCCCGAGATATCGTAAAATGAACCTGAAAGTCATGGTGTAGCATGAGTATTGGTCGCTAGCCGTTTACTATAGACCTACAAAAATTCAAGCCAATCGGAGTCTCTCAAAAAAAACTACACATTCATAAATTCGTGTTGCATGATCCCGAAGCGCCACAAAATGAATTTGAGAGTCATAGCAAAATAATGAGTATTGGTCAATAGGACATTTCGTATGAATCTACGAAATTTCAGGCCAATTGGTGTAAAAAAGCTCGACCATATAAGCATGTACTAATATACATGAAAAAGTAGATATAATCGCCTAAAATTTTGTCGGCCAATCAAAACCGACCTAAAGAACAATATACATAGTCTCCTCATGATCGTTCCTCACTTTTTGGCGTTTTAAGGTCATAAAACTGGAATTTCACCCGATTCCTAAATTTTTGTGTGTTATAACCCATGCCTTCTGCAAGTGCCCGAGCTATCGGATCGGACTGCCTAAAATTTTGTCAGCCCATTAAAAGCAACCTAAAGAACAATAGTCATTGCCTCGCCATGAGCGATGCTCCTTTTTTGGCGTTTTAGGACCATTAAACAGGAATTCCGCCTTATTTTCAGATTTTCGTCTGTTATAGCACACGCCATCTTCATGGGCCCGGGCGACCGGACCCGGATCGCCTAAAATTTTGCTAGCCCATCAAAAGCAACCTAAAGAACAATATTCACCGCCTCGCTATGATTGTTGCTCTTTTTTGGCGTTTTAGGACCATAAATCTGGAATTCTGTCTGATTCCCAAATTTTCGTATGTTATACCTACGCCATCTGCATGGGCCCAGGCGACCGGATCCGGATCTCCTAATTGTCGGACTATCAAAAACGACCAAAGAAAAAATAGTCACCGCCTCGCCATGACCGTTCCTCTTTTTTTTAGCGATTTAGGGCCATAAAATGTGAATTCTGCCCGATTCTCACATTTTCGTATGTTATTGCCCAAGCCTTCTGCATGGGCCCGGGCGATCGGACCAGGATTGCCAAAAATTTACCGGCTCATCAAAAATGATCTAAGGAATAATAGTTATTGCTTACTATGACCATTACTCATTTTTGGCGTTTTAGGACCATAAAACAGGAATTTTGCCCCATTCCCAGATTTCAAATTGATTAGCGTCATACCATCTACATGGGCCTAGGCAACTGAACCCGGATCCCTTAAAAAAATTCGTCCTAGCAAAAACAACATAAGGAATAATAGTCACTGCCTCGCCATGACTGTTACTCATTTTTTTTGCATTTTAAGGCCATAAAACTGGAATTTCGTCTAATTCCTGATTTTCGGGTGCAATAGCCACCCCATCTGCATGGGTCCAAATGATCGGACCCGGATCACCTAAAATTTTGCCAAACCATCAAAAATGACATAAGGAACTATAGTCACCCCCTCGCCATGACTGTTAATTGGAATTCTGCCCGATTTCTAGATTTTTGGTGTTATGGGCCTAGGCGACTTGACCCGGATCGTCTAAAAAAATTTCGGCCCATCAAAAACGACCTAAGAAACAATAGTCACCACCTCGCCAAGATCGTTACTCGTTTTCTAGTGTTTTAGGGTCATAAAATTAAAATTTTGCCCGATTCTTAGATTTTCGTGTGTTATAGCCTACGCCTTTTGCATGGACCCTGGCGATCGAACCTGAATTGCCTAAAAAAAATTCGGCCCATCAAACACGACCTAAGGAACAATAGTCACTGACTCGCCTTGACCGTTACTCGTTTTCTAGTATTTTATGGTCATAAAACAAAAATTTCGGATTCCCAGATTTTTGTGTGTAGCCTACGCCTTCTGCATGTGCCTGGTCGACTGGACCCAGATCCCTTAAAAAAATTCGGCCTAGCAAAAAGGACATATGGAACAATAGCCACCGTCTCGCCATGGTTATTACTCATTTTTGGCGTTTTAGTGCCATAAAATTAGAATTCCGCCCAATTCCTAGATTATCATGTGCAACCCACACCTTCTGCATGGGCCCGGGCGATCGGACGCGGACCGCCTAAAATTCCAGGCCCGGACGACCGGACGCGGATCGCCTAAAATTTTGTCGGACCATCAAAAATGACCTAAGGAACAATAGTCACTGCCCTTCCATGACCGTTACTCGTTTTTCGGCGTTTTAGGGCAATAAAATTGGAATTTCGCACGATTCCTAGGTTTTCGTCTGTAATAGCTCACGCCATCTGCATGGGGTCGGGCGATCGGACCGGATCGCCTAAAATTTTTCCGGACCATAAAAACGACTTAAGGAACAATAGTCACCGCCTAACCATGATCGTTGCTCGTTTTTTACGTTTAGGGCCATAAAATTGAAATTTCGCCCGATTCTTAAATTTTTGTATGTTACACCCCACGCCATCTGCATGGACTATAAAGCATCGTCTTTAGGTACCCAAATTATTGGGGTCCCAAAATTTCTTGTGGTTAGCTTTATGGTTTAAAAATATTTAGAAATATTGAAGATTTTAGAGAAGAAAGGTTAAAAAAATTGATGGTAACAAAAAAAAAAAAAAAAAAAAAAAG